TGAACATGATGAGGAGGATTTGGAGCGCTGCATAGACGAGGCACGAGGCACAGCCCTGGGTAGACACACAAAAATAAATCAGCACAAACACACACACAGACACACAAAGATAGATAGGTGCTCCTCTGGTTGCTTTACCTAACTGACCCTGTGCCTGAAAGACTCGGCGGAGGTGGATCGGTGCGCGGACTCCCGTCCTGCCTGGGGCTGATGTTGAGGTTGGCGGTGAGCTGTGGCATCTTCCGGGTGGTGTCGAGGTTGGAGGCGGGGCCGGGAGGTTCCTTCCTGGAGTTACTAAGCTGGGATGGAGTGCAGGGCGAGTGGGTGCCAAATCCTGGTCCTGTGCTAAAGCGGACAGCCAGGCTGTCGCCGAAGAAGGAGTAAAGCTCACAGTACATGGCGGGGAGAGGGACGGGGGTCCACTCCTCCCAGTGACAGCCGGCCCCACCCACCTGGAGGTGGCTGGCAATTCCAAGGGCAGCTTCTGACAGAGGCTCTGGAGGTGGGCTGAGTCCCGGAGAGTTCACCCTGTAGCTCACAGCTCCCACCACAGAACCCGGATGAGCACCGGCGTGTCCCTCTGCTGACTGCGACAGAGACAGCGCCTTCATCTTTAGCAGGCGCTCCACTGCCACCTGCAGGACAAAGAGAGGAAGTGGCGACGTAGGTGGGACAAGATGAACTCAAATTATGATTTAATTCGTTTTTAATCACAAGCATCATTAGGCATAATGTCAAGATTGAGCTCATCTGTTAGTTATCCTCAGCACAAATTTGGGGCTCAACATCTTCATTAAATCAGCATTAACCACACACTGCTTTGAAGTTCTTGAAGCATATAGAACAATCCCTGATCCAGGGCCAGTTAACCTGACCTGCATGTGTGTGGACTGTGGGAGGAAGCTGCAGAGAAGACTCAGCTACAGAGGAAACTGCACGCACAACGAGCCAAGCTGAGGTTTAAACCAGGAAGCTTCCTGCTGTGAGGCAACATTGCTAACCACTCAATTTATATTTGACAATAATTCGTTATTTTATGGCTCCCAGAACTAAGTTTGTATATTGTCACAAGCCGTTTTATTAGGTACACCTTGCTAGCACCAGGTTGGCCCCACTTTTGCCTTAATTCTCCATAACAGAGATTCAAAAGGGTGCTGGAGATGTGGCACATGTGGCAACTGCAGCTCACAGCAACATCAGAACGAGCACAAAGAGGAACAGCTGGAGCAGATGTGGAAGTTGACTCCAGTGGACCTTCAGACCAACCAATCAAGATTAACCTCATTCTGTTTTTAAAGTAATTTTCTACACTTAAATACTTCATTAAGTTGACTAATGACAGTCTATCAGTGTCTGAAATCACCCAAAGCAGCAGCAGTACTGACCAGGATGGCTCCGTAGACCTTGTGTCCGTCAGCTTTCACCTGGGCGTTGGACACAGAGTAATCATCTAACACAGCCTGGAGGTTGGCCCAGTACGCAGGAAGGTGTGGAAAGAGGACGCGCTCGACAGCCTGCCAGCAGAAACCGGTGAACACAGAGAGAGGAGCATTCAGGACACAGGAGGGTAGCAGTGGAGCACTCAACAGCAATAAAAACAGTAATGACATGCAGGTTTGCAAATATTTCACAGCTAAATAATCAAGATGTGAGACTTTTCATTTAGGGAATGATTTGTTTGAAAATATCGACTGAATATGGGCCCAATCTAATCTATAACTGTCAAATATTTACTAATGTAGAAGCTGTGGCCATACCTTCCATCCCAAAGCATGAAGGCCCACAACAGCTCCATAGTGGGAGCACAGTGGTCTCACTGGGTCAGACAGAACCTTCTGGAGCGACAGCACGATCTGGTGGTAGAGACCACTTACCAGATCACCATGAGTCCTGCAGAAGAAACACCAGAAAGAAGAGCGACTGTTGGATTTCCATGTTTAACGCAAACGCCGAGTGAATGTTAATGTTGCCCTTAGCAACAGCCTGCTAACATTAGTCAGACTGGTAACATTGTAGCAACACAGGTTCTTTGTGAAATGATGCTGCATATTTACTGTAAAACAGGCTAACACTACAGTAGTTTTGTATTCTCAACACTGATGTTAAATCCTGACTGGCTAACAATTTTAGTCCAAGCTTGCCTAAGCATCCACGGAAAATCTGCTCACCAAAAGATGTGGCTGAGGAGCAGGGCAGCGTAGTCCCTGAGAGTCCAGTGGTCGTTGAGTGGGTTGATGGAGGCTGCCAGTGGCTCTAGGATGCAGTACATGACACTGGAGACCAGGCTGCGTACATACGAGCCCAGGTACAGGTAGGGATTCTGGACCAGGCTCTTCACCATGTGCATTAGTCTGTTAAGCTGCTCCAGGTCGTGGCTTACCGACTTTACCTGGACGACAAACCGAATCCATGATCAGCTGAAACACCGGTCAACAGGTTCAGGAAATCTACATCCTAACTGACGACATAATCAGAACCTTCGACGCCGTTCAAGCCGAGGACACGTAGGTTACCGTGTAGAGTTAAAAGCGCTTCCAGTTATGAGATAGGTCTGATTCATGTGTCATGCTACGATATTTTCTCTTACTAAACACACCAAGCATTCCTAACAAAACTGGTGATGAGAATCATAAATGCTGATTTGTGTAACCCTAAAACTTACTCCACTGATGACATAAACAAAGTACGGAAGCAGGGCTGCAATCTTGGAGTTAGACTGGAGGTCCAGCAGAGCCACCTGAAACACACACGAGCGTCGTTTAGCCTGTTCACAACAAAAAGTCTGCTCTGTCTGTAGCAGCTCACCTTCATGAGATGCGGGTCCTCTCCTAAGATGGCCCTTGTGATCTGCTGGTAGTACTTCAGTAAGTCATCTGACAGAGACTGTACTGCTGTAGGAACTGGGACAGTTTAACACAGACAAACACTGAGATTTTCTAACAGGATAACAATGATGCTCTCAGTGAAAGGTGGAGCTCAGTTTTTAGAGTATTAGCTACTTTATTCTATCTACAGGTCCAAGTACAACAACTGTGGGTTAGGTTATGCCTGCTGTGTGCGTCTCACCTGTACCCTGAGGCTCCAGGTTACCTTTACCATCCAGGTATGACACATTGACTGCAGGCAAACATGAAACATCATTAGTAAACTCATCACGTGAATATGGATATGACAGAGCATAGAGAACACTACAGGATGAGCCTGCGTGTGGAACGTAGCAGCGTAGCGTACCTCGCACCATGGTCTCAGCACAGCCTTTGGGGATGTTGGTAGCCAGCGCCAGCTCGACCAGATTGACGTCCCGATCCTCAACAAAGAAGAGCTCGCCTTCTTTCACTGAACGGAAAGGCAGCGCATCCTGGGCTCCATAGCCGCAGATGGCCTGGTAAAGAACAGAGACAGAAACATGAAGGAGTTCCCTCACATCAGACCTGAGGCAGATCGGATATGGAAATTACAAGCTACCTCCACGTTGCTCCAGCGCAGAGCTCTGTTGAAGTCCTCCACCGTCAGCTTCCTCCTCTTGGCGTGTCTCATAAACTGAGAGCTGCTCTGTTGGGGACAGCAAAACATTACCACGTACACCTAACACGAACTTCTCCCAAAGTCAGAACATTATCTATGCATCCAGGCATCACTGACCTGCGTGGCCTCCCTGAGTCGGTAACACACGTCCTCGGCCAGCAGAGCCGCCACATCATCACCGAGCTCCACACCTGCGCCCTCCGCCATCAGTCTGACAGACTCCCGGGAAACCTCGGCGAACCGGCGCTCCTCCCGGTCCGCCATGTTCACCGAAATCACTCAAACTAGCAAGAAAGATCACGTTACGCTCATGCCTTCTCTGCATCTCACAGCAAAACATCGCGTTTGGCGGTAAAGCTTAACGGAACTTCATGCGTCCCCTCGGGTACACACTACAGGGTTAGCTAAAACATACGTGTGTCTATAAACGTCTTCACTGTGGACCGTCACGTATTGGGGACCTTTTTCAGCTGTGGCCCGTGTTTCTCCGAACCACCGCACTCATTCAGCATGCTAACAAAGTCAACTCTGGTTTTATTCAGTTAGCTGGAAGAAACCACCGCACTTTGAAAGAAACCACGATAACAAACCTATTACAATACAGTAACGAATGAAATGACCGTTGTGTCTTTATAAAACTGTCGCATCAAATACAGCTAAATACAGTTAGCTAAAATACATGATGCTAAAAGCTAGCATCAGAAGGACAGAAAATACAACACCAGGCCTTCCCAGTATCATGCAACGTTAGACTTTACCTTCTAAACTGGAACAAAGGGGGACTGGAGGTCTTTAGCGCCTGAAATAAAGTTCACACCAGGGTAGCTGTCCGATACACTAGCAGCTCCATAACATCAAGCTAGCAATCATGACCAAGACATCCGCTGTACCCTTCAAAATAAGGCAGCGAGGTCCAGTTTATTTTCTCACAATATCGTCCTGACGAAACACCTCAGAGGTGCAATTTAACTAAAGCCTAAAAAGATTTAGCTCTATGCTTACAGCCTCGAGCTACCTTTACCCTCCCAGGTCTACCTGTTGACGCTCTGTAGCAGGAGGTTAAGGCCAGTGATTGGCTGCCGAGTATCAGTAGACGGGATTGGTTGGTTGAAGGTCGTGTCTCTTTAAAATACTTTAGACGTCCTATACGGAGGTCTAGTATAAACATTTCACCATCGCCTCCACATTAACTAACCCGGACGTACACCAGCCAGAGCTGATCATAGGCCAACTTTCAGTTTGAGCCCAAGACTCTTGTCTTTGTTCCCATGAGCATGGTCCCAGCCAGCCATCCCATTCTTTATTGGAAGGAAGCTTCAGAGTTTTAAGACAGTTTCAGGAGCCTCTTGTTTCAGCAGCAGCTGATTAAGACTGACAAATGCCAGCCTCGCTTGTGCTTGAAAAGGCAGCTACTGGACTTCTGTCAGTCACCCCACAACTTTAATCCAGCCCAGCCAAACACACAAACACAGCAGTTAGTAAAAAAAGCAACATGGTTTATTTACAGTGCTTTGGGCAGACATATAGCCATGTACAATTAAAAATATTACACATATAGCTGCACCTGTAAGATTCTCTTTCCAGAGCTACTCCAGACTGATCCATGACTGAATAGTCATGTTTGCCAAGGCCTGCTTGGGCCTTCTGAAACAAGCTCAAGTCAACTGGAACATATATACAAAAAAACCCTTGGGGTAAAGTGGGGGGAATTACATATTAAAAAAAGAAAAAAGAAAGTGTTCAGCAGCACTTTAGAGCCTCCTGTTGGCCCAGATATCCTGGGCCTTCGTGCTCTCCAGCTTCTGCAGGTGGAGGGCCAGTGGCAGGAGCAGATCATTTAAGTGCTGACTGGAGAAGGTGAAAGCATTGTGCGCTGGTGCTTCTGGGGTGGTGGGTGGAGGAGATGATGAGGCTGAAGAGTCTGATGCAGAAGGCAAACGTGACGCGCATGTGGACAGCAACCCATTGTGTTGACTGGAGGTTTTTATCCTGTTAGGGAGGCCGTGCTGGAAGTGACAGCGGGTTCCGTACAGGCAGAAGCCAAAGGTGCTGAAGGTGTGGCACAGAGCTCCCCGAGGTTTCCACCCCTTGGGCTTTTGCACAAATGCGGTCTTTTCACCAACACTGGCCAAATCGTAACGGCCGTCTTCATCTTTACCCTCCACATGCAGGAAGTTACAGCGGGTTCCAAAGGGACAAATCCCAAAGGCACGGAAGGTGCGGCACGGGACGTTCCTGCGACGACGGAGGGTGGGGCGTTGCTCTGTGGGACTGTGGACAAACAGGCAACGGTTGCCATAGTAGCAGTAGCCATCTGTGTGGTAGCTGCGACACAACTCGGTCTTGTACTTTGGATGGTGTGAGGGAACGTGGAGTTCGTGGAGGCCGTGGGCAAACTGGCAGCGCTCGGCATACTTGCAGAAACCATCATCTGAGTAAGTGGTGCAGAGCTCCGTCTTGTAGCGGGTTGAGCAGACCCAGGGGATTGGAGGTGGTGAGGACTCCGTCACAGGGAGCAGGGCTTCGGCCAACGATACGGCGCTTCCACCACAGTCACCGTCAGATTCCTCCACAGACTGCATGCTGTCCAGTAGCTCAGGTGAAGGCAGAAACAAGTCTTTGCTACTGGTCTGTAAAGAAAGAAGTCAGCGTTTTAAACATGTATCGAGTTCTGCCTGGTCTTTCTGATATTTTTCAATGTATAGCACCAAATCACAAGAGTCACCTCAAGGTGCTTGATATTGGAAAGCAATTTCAACATCTGCTTAAAATGATGGCATTTAATGTCTAAAAACAGATTGTATAGATATAAATATAGACTATACACAATGTACCGGGTTCTCCACTGAAATGACAGCAGTTTAAGTACAAATGACAAATCTCATCAGGACATGGTCAGCATATATGAAGTCTTTCAAAAGTGACCGCAGGACACAGACCAGAGGAACTGAATAACTAGCTTTGATAGGGAGCCAGTCAGCTCTTCAACTTTGCTATTCCACTTTAAAAAAGAAAAACACACTTCCACTCACATAATTACAACCAGATGGACAGTAAACTCAAACGTAGCAGATACAAACCAGAGAACTTTTCTTTAGGACAGCCAACTGAGCGCAACTCACATTTGTTTTGCAATCTAAGCAGAGTCATGCTTTAAAACTGGCTGCACACGCTGGACCCCATGTGTCAAAGAGACGAGGGGTACTTCCTAAAGTCTGACCTGCATAGACTGATCCTCACCGTCCTCAGCCAGGCTGGTTACCGCGATTGCTGCAAAAGCACACTGAGCTAAATAAGCTCACAGTAACTTTGTGGCAGTGTGGAATTGTCTGAATTCATGTAACTTACAGTTTAAGTCTATCAGCAGGATTCAGCTAAGGAGGCACAATTGTTGTTACTTTTATATATTAAAAAAACAAACTCAGATCTGTGGCTAAGTTAGTCCTACCAGCAGGACCCCAGTACAAGAAAAGCAACCAGGGTCATGGACCAGCACGCACTGTAACCACTTGTTTGAAAAATCAAACTAGTTTCACAGAACCAACTATTCTCACCATGGGATAAAAAGCACACTCTGATATAAAAGCTCTGCTGGTTCACAGGCCTTCAGGAATAACCGTAGACCCCCGATCCTGATAACTACACACATGCTTCAATTACCCACTTCTTGAAGTGGGTAATTGAAGCATGTGTGTAGGACAAGGAGCAGCTACATGTGGAGGCGCTAAAAGGTGCTGCGGTTACCTTAAACATGGCTGCAAATGCAGAGCTGCGTGTAAGGCTGTGGGGGGTGAGAAACTGCGTCTGACGAACAGAAACCAATGAAACCTGCACCGTCAACAAGGCCACGAGCCTCCACGCGCCTGCTGTCCCTGGGTCACGAGCACCGGAGCACGCGCTGCGCGGCTGTCATTTAAACCTCCGCTCAGCGTCCCGCCTCTCAGCACAAACGCTGCTCAGGTGCGCTCGGCTCTACGTCACAATGACGTCTGCAGGGAGCGCTTTGCTGTGGGCCGGTTGGTAACCGTGGATTAAGTAGGGGTGACACCCCTGATTTACATCATACAACATTTTGCGTTCATGCAGCAACAACGAAACAGGAAGTAGTTTTTATTCCACCAGTGTGATGTTCAGACTTCAGCTGTGCATTTGATGCTAAAAACTTTAATGACATCAGCAGGTTATTGCAGGAAATGAAAATGCAGTTACAGTTAAGCTTTCTGCTCCACTTTGTTATGTTGCTGTTTTCAGCTATGGTCCATTACTGTGGATTAATGATGGTCCTCTGTATCTTTGCTAAAGGAGCAATAAAGGAAGCATTAAAGCGCCTTTCCTTAATATTTGGAGTATTGGAACACTCTTATTATAGACGCCACACAAGTCCTTCTGGGTCACGTCTCTCAGTTAGGAACCTTTCTACAGGTTATTGGAACACAGCCCTGCTCCTAAAGACCAGAGCCTGATCTCTGCTACAGGTCTGAACATTAAAGCCATCTGAAGGTCAGTGTACAAAGTCTTTCCACTCAGAGTCTAAGCACCTTTGGACATTTCCTTGGGCACTGACAAATTCTCTCATGTTTCTGGTGAAACTAGTGAAATATTTCATGCGGCTGAGCTGATCTGAGTGAAAACACTGCAGAAAATCTAAAACTCTGGTTTATGTGATGGTTCTGGTGTCTGCTGCAGGTTTTCCTGCTCCGTGCCCTCCAACCAAGGCTCTCATTATTTCCCTGTGATGCTGAAATCCAATACTTGAAAACAGTCAAAGTTGTGCAGGCTTCTAGTACGTCACAGAAACCTGTCTCCTCCAGGAATCCTCTGATGACACGCCCATTACTGGAAGTATGGAGATGGGAAGAGAAAAGGAGTACAGAGGACTGATTGATCACTGAGGTGGTGTGAGGTGAACCACCTGCAGCTGACTGTGGCCAAAACAAAGGAGCTGGTGGTGGACTTTGGCAGAAACAGATCCCTGTCTGCATTGGTGGGATTGATGTCGAAATAGTCACGTCCAGAAGTATCTGGGAGTTCATCTGGATCACAAGCTGGAGTGGTCTGCCAACAAAAAGGGCCTGAGCCAGCTTTACTCTCGATGAAGGCTCAGATCCTTCAGTGTCTGCAGCAGGCTGCTTCTAGCAAGTTGTTGCAAGCAACATCGTCTTTACTGTGGCGTTCTGGGGTGCAGGCATCAAAAATATTTCCACACGTCCAGTCCGATATACTATTTGTAGTTTAATGTCGAAATTTCGACTTTAATCTCAAAATTGACACAATTCTTTTTCTTAATTTGGCCCCTAAGTGCTCTCCCAAAAGCCACCAGTTTTTTGGGAAAAGCTGGAACGTGTGGAAAGTAAATGATCAGAGTGATTTAGTGGTCATTAAAATGTCCATAATATGCAAATTGATGATGATTCATCTCATAAATCATGACATACTGCTTCATATCACCAGTTTCCCGCCCTCTCAGATCCTCATCTGCTATTCATCTTACTGTTCCTGACGTCTTCTCCCTGTGGGGAACAGAGCCTTCAGTGCCTCTGCTCCTGGGCTCTGGAACTCTTCCTCCAGCCATAAGAAAGCTGATTTTATCTGTTGTCAAGTTCTGTTCTGCAATTTTAACTTATTTTATGACTATTGCTCATTTTATTAATTTTGTTCTTTGTAAGGTGACCTTGGGTTCTTGAAAAGCACCCTCAAAAAATGTATTATAATTATTTATAGGTTAAATGAATGTGTTTTGCAGTATTGCATTGTTTAGCAGAAATAACCCATCTCTGCTATCAGTGCTGAATCTTTGCTTCAGCTCACATGTACAGAACTCTGTCTTCTACTCTGCATTGGCCTGTTTAAAGGTCCCACTGAAGTTCAGCTTTCGCGCTTTCTTATATCAACTTCAGGCTTGTTTGTAACAATGGTGCGGAAATCATAGCAGAACAGAAGAGACTGCAACCTTCCCAGCCCCCATCGTTTCTACCATCAGGTTCCAGGCAATCTGCTTTTTCCTTAACCAAAGAAAAAAATTCTGTGATCACTTCAGTTTTCTTTCAGGGTGTTTGGGATGTTGCTAAGCTGGCCCGTGGCTTCGTTCTCTGTAAGAGCAAAAAGACTTTAACTACCAAAGCTGTCGGCCTTTCTCGGAGAGGTTGGCGCTGGCTATCGCATTAACATCTCTTTAATCTGTTGCATTTATTATTAAAGAGCAAAGGAACATGCCTCACCTGGCCATGAAGCTGCTTGTCAGTGAGCGAATTACTTTTGAGCCAGTGCTGCCGATCAAGGGGTCACTGTGGAAACCCTCGTTCTCAACTGATCACATTCACAAGGTTTCGAGAAAACCTACTGAGCGAGCTCAGAACCCCATCAGCGATTAAAGCTGAAAGTCTGCACTTCAGTCACAAGCTGTTTCATTTAAACCCGTCTGTGGTGATATACAGAAGGGAAATTACAAAAATGTGCAATGATCAGAAATCTATGTTCCTGATGAAGAAATGACTGAAGTCATTGCTAAAACTGACACTTTACATTCAAATGGCACCTTTGAGGTTTTTATTTACAGTGGTGTGAAAATGTGTTTGCCCTGATGTCCTATTTTTCGTATGTTTGTCACATTTTTGCTTGGACCAGTTTGCAGTCAGTCATGACCTCCAGGACGTCACAGAGAAGCAAGAACACACAGCGGGGTCCTGTCAGACTAAACTGGATAAAAAGAAACGTGACAACAGTGTAGGTCAGAATGTGGTCGGCCGCTGTGTCTGTAAGCTCCCAATGTGGCGTATGGGACAGGACTCGATGCTCTTTACATGTCGATGTATAAAAATGGAGAAATGCTTGAAACATTTCCAAGAGGAGGCCTTTGCTGTGTACCAAGAGGATGAAACCATAATCAGGCCGACAGTGTGAAAAGCTCCAGCTGTTTGATGTGAGGCAGCAGATGTGAAAGATGTCTGACCACGAAGAAAAAAAAAATCTTTATTTTTTTTCTTATCAAGATACATTAAAGGATACAGAGACATCGGAATAAAAAACACTTGAGAAAAAGTTTCACTTGTGGCATGTTTGTCTCTCCATCATTAAAAAAAATCCACACCCTGTCCCTTTTGAAGGTCAGTCCTGGTTAAAAGAAGCAGTCCACCCACCCGATGAAGAAGAGATGCTTCACACGTACAGTAGCCTGTTAGCGCAGTCTCCTCATTAACAGAGTTACACACCTCAGATGTACAAAATTAAAAACAAACAAACCAAAACTAAAAGTTTTCAATATTCCACTTCTGCAGTTTTCTTTACACACATTAGCATTTGCTACAAACTTGACAATTCAATTTCTTTTTTGAGAGGAAATATTACAAAGCTCACATCGGGACCAAATCTGCTTAAAAAAAGTCATCACTGCCGCGGACGCAGAGGAATCGTAAGGATCCAACAGCTCGGTTTCAGCACTCTCCCTCCGATAAAGGTACAAAGAGAGGGAGGAAAAGAAAAACCACAAACAGCAGAAGAGTCCTCCGCACAGTCCTCACATCCCGTCAGAACCAAAACATCAGCACATGTACAGAACAGGATGAAGGCTGCATGAAGACAAAAGGGTCAAAGGTCAAGGTGTGTTTCCCATTTGACTCCACTCCTAGAGCCCCGTGTTTTTGCATACATTTTCTGCTTGATTCGACCCACATTTATGAACTGACCACTAACATCAGGAACACTGTCCTGTTCCTTCAGACTGTCTCGCTGCCTGTTCTCCTGCACATTATGGCTTCGTTTTGGACTTCTGCAGAAATCCCACACATGATCTCAAAGCCAAATTCATGATAACTGAGTTGTGAGTAAGCAGCCTCTGTTGTCGGCTGCACCTCTCCTACTGTATGTACTAACAATTTACAGTAAGCAAAGCACAGAGTGGCTGTTGGAATAAAAACCTATTTCAAAGAAACCTGATTGGCTGCTGCCCAGAGTAGTGATTTACCATTTCCTCTGTACAGACGCACTGAGTGAGGGGAACAAACTAAACCAAAAACAACTGCAGACAAAGTCTTCAGTGTTTTCAGTTAGTGCTTTCAATCAGCTCAAACTCTTATTTTGATACAGAGGGTTCAATAATGGATGGAGCTCCAGAAGAAGGAAACAGGTTTGTAAAGTCTAGGTCAGACCCTGTGACATTTACACACCGTTCCAGTGGGTGGACAGGTGTGCACACCTGCATCTCTGATGTTTGTTCCTAAAATGAGAGAACTGAACGTAAAGTCAAGTGTGTTGAACGTTTCCAGGCCTGAATGACAGACTGCAGCCATGGAAAGAGTTACAACACGCAGCAGACTAACACCACATTTCCCTCCATCACCACAGCCCACCCGATGATTCTGCTCTGCTAGGATGGAGGAAAGGAGGCTCGAGAGGAATCCTGAAACCGAGGCAAACTCTGGGCCTGCTCAAGCTGTCCTACAGTCCTGTAAGGGTGTCGCCCCTTCAGTGATGCATATATTTACACAAAGATAAGAGACGGGAAAGTCAAACAATGTCTGCTTTATCACCATTGCTTCAGGAAGAAAAATATATGAATTTAAATGACACATTTAAAAGCAGGGCAAGTGTGAGTGTGAGGGCTCCATCACGCTGGCTGCTGCTCTACAACAAACTGATGTGACATCTGCTGGTACGAGATGCTGCTCTGCTGTCACTTCAGCCAGTCGTGCCTCTCAGCATTTGTGCCATTGCTGCTGTGTGTTGGATTTTAACACTATTTTAATGACCAGAGCACAGCAGCTCAGAGCCTCCGAGTGCACAGAACAGACTGGAAACTTTAAAAAAGGATCTGCTTCTGGTTTTGAGTTCTCCTCCGATAGTGGCGACGCCTACCACTCAGGACAACACTGCACTCTAAGTTCTGGTATAAATGGTACGGAGCCGAGGCAGGGTTACCATTGGCGACCAATTCAGCATGTATACTGGAGCCCTGAGGGTTTAATGTGTGCTTACTGAATAGGTGTGTGTGTG